ATGACCCTAGTTGAAGACACATTATCTAAACAAGACACAACAGGTAATAAATACAGAATTTAGATATAGAGATATTTATTTATATAACAAAATGTTTTCATTTATGAAATAAAAACATAGCATTTAAGTAGAAATTAGTAAGAAATGAACAAGGAGTACTTACGTTTATATTTTTTTTACTCCAAAAGATTCATACATTAAGTGTATCTTACGGACCGATTTATCCGAAACGAACCGCAGCACTTAAGTGGTCGTCACGTGTTACAGTGTAAACATTATAGGCACTAATCAACTCAAATCATCACAAGTTGTTACCCTATTGTATTGTGTCCAGAAACAAAAGCATTAATATTACATGTCTTACGTCGCGTGTTGGCTAATGCTCTGACGAAGATTTTGCAGTTCAAGGTGGTTGGTGTGGCTACCGTCAACTCCGCGGTTGTCACGTATATGGAGAAACAAGGGACACCAAGTCTCTTGTCCTGTGTGGATATCCAAGTCAAGCTTCGCCAAGGCATACGGAATACTCTCTCAAGACACCGCCTTCCGGTATTGACGGAGAGTCAGTAGAAGCCTTCAGTGTTCGAATGTATCTGTCAAGTATGGGACAAGCCGCATATGGACCTATTCGCCACCTTCTTGAACAATCAGCTTACAATCTTCGTCTCTCAGGTTCCAGATCCCAGTGCTCGGGCAGTGAACGCTGTTTTTGAATTGGGATGGAATGAATGCCTTTGCGTCCTCTTCGTTCAACCTAGTGATCAGGGTGCTTAAGAACTTTCGGGAGCATTTCTGTTCCCTTCTTTTGACAGCTCCTTGGTTTCTAGAGTTGTTGCATCTGGTTATTCCTTCCAGACCGAACCTTCTTCGACAGCCTCAGTCCGGGAATTTGCATGCCCGTCAAGAGATCCGAAACCTTCCCGCGTGGAGGCTATCGCAGGAGTCATCGCTCAGACAGGCTTTTCTGGAGACGTATCAGTTCGCATTTCATGATCAATCAGATAGACAGCGGGATGTTGATCGGTTGAGGCGTCTGTCCAAATTTCCTTTTATGGTCTTTCAACGAGCGCAATCTTACCCATGGCGTTATTGTGTTCTATCGCTAAACGTTAGCCAGAGATTTTACTGATCATGGCAGTATAGATATTGGAACCGCTATTTCTCTTTCTTTGATTGGGGATTTAGGTTTGAACGGGCCTAGGACTAGACCACTAGCTCCGAAATGGAATATAACCCTAGTTATTGAATCTTTCATGAGGGCACCCTATGACGTCTACGTCACTGTGTTCCTCTTTACCTTCGTCTTAGAAAGAAGGAGGGGTCAGACTCGTGCAATAACTCCTCGTCCATCTTGTCTTCGGTGGTCAAGGAACTTGTTCTCAGTCACCCGGGCTACATACCCAGCTCTTTAATGCTGAGAATCAGGTGCCTGTGTTTTCCCACGAACCCAAGATTTTGTAGAATCTGAGAACAGGCAAATGTACTCTGTCCCCGTAGAGCTTTACTGCTTTATCTACGTAAAACCCTGGGTTGAGACGGGGTCCTCGTGTTAGACTGTCTTGCTCGTCATACAGGATAAGCAGGATATCTCGAGCGGATTGTCAGATTGAGGCTCTTTGCAGGGTTAAAACTTATTATGTTTGGGTCTTGGCTGCATCCTATGCCCTACTCAATGGCTTCCCTTCAGGAGGTCATGTCTGTTGCCTTTTGGCACAGACTCCATACATTTGTGGTAGGTATTCAAGGAACCTTGAGGCCTACCTTCTCCGGTTTCTTAAGTCGGTGTTTTTGTGTTGTTGGCCACGTCTTGCAGAAGTTAGCAGTGTCTACTCCAAATCCTAATACTGAAGTTATAATGTATTACTAAAATGGAATGAAGTTTTTTTTCTGCAAAACCAATTATCATTGTGTAATACTTACCGCAACTGTATTGAGTCCCACCAAGCCTCCCCTTTTCTCCTCTGAGACACGACTTTGCTATCTTTGGTTAAGATTGTGTTATATAATACGAGAGTTTGAACGTAAATATTGCGAAAGGTAGTCGGGTTCACTTGAAATCCTTGTTAAGATGATATCAAGATGGGTGTAGGCATTGAATATGCATAATGCAATTATTGTAAGTATTCCATCATGAAAATTGGTTTGATAAAACCAGCTCAAACTCCTTTCATCCTGTCACCAGGATAGCTCACTAATCAAGATCGTAACTCACTAGTACGTACCAGAAGTTATTCAGTTCAAAAAACATCACCAACAAAACCCTGCAAACGTTCTCGTTGCCACGATGATATGAATAACTCCATTACTGGCGAGAATTATTATGGAAGGCCGTATCCATGAAGAAAAAACCCTATATTAATACATTTTGTAAATAGTTTTATCTGCACCAGTCGAGAAATCGGGAAAATCCTTTTTTCATATAATTAATTAGTTAAAAAGTAACAAATCGAGCAACTGATTGCCTACAGTACCCTACCTTGTTTACCTCATATGATTGATAAAGTCTGAAGTCGGCCGCGGAATCTTCCATGTTATCAGCAACGTTTAAGTACAAACATACAATATCAGTGTCTGTGTGTCACCCACACACAGAACATGGTCAGATAAGGCTGGTTTATTTATTTCAAGGCTACGTGTGAAATCTGGACGTCACAGCAAACGTATGTTTACCACAAGCCTGGACGTCGCAGCGGGCGTCTGTACTAAAAACCTTGACGTCACAGCAAGCGTATATTCACTACAAACCTGGACGTCAAAGAAGGCGTCTTTACTAAAAACCTTGACGTCACAGCAGACGTATATTTACTACAAGGCCACGTGTAATATATGTTCTCACATCAGGTGTCTTTACTACAAGGCTACATGTAAAACATGTTCTCACATCAGGTGTCTTTACTACAAGGCCACGTGTAATATATGTTCTCACATCAGGCGTCTTTGCTACAAGGCCACGTGTAAAACATGTTCTCACATCAGGCGTCTTTACTACAAGGCTACGTGTAATATATGTTCTCACGTCAGGTGTCTATACAACTACAACTGTTAAGCCTGGACGACATCCGTCATAACATGACTTATGAGGGTATCAAACATGACGCACTCTCAAGATGTATTTGTCAGAATTATTTATACAAATAGGTAAGACTCGTGAAGCTTACTAATAAATTAATTTTGTTCTACCAATATTGATTTGTTTAATTTGTCACCTGAATATGCCCAGTAGATTAGTTATAGGCGTATGAACGCTAAATGATCGTCTAATGTGCGAAATTAAATCACGGGCGTACTAGATAAAGTAGACTCTTGTACAGTGTATGACTCATGGACACAGTGGACATATTAAGTAATACATGAAATTTACTCATGGACGAATGATGACGGTGATTAAATCAACGTTCCACCTTCAAAGTAAAAGGAGCGACGCCAGCGCTTCATCTGTGATACTTCTTAAATATAAATTTTCTACCAAGATCTATAAATATGCAGTTGACTTCTGTTAAAGGGGTCACCTCTAAACTACATTAGGGATGTGACTTCTGTTAAAGGGGTCACCTCTAAACTACATTAGGGATGTGACTTCTGTTAAAGGGGTCACCTCTAAACTACATAAGGGATGTGACTTCTGTTAAAGGGGTCACCTCTAAACTACATAAGGGATGTGACTTCTGTCAAAGGGGTCATCTCTAAACTACATTAGGGATGTGACTTCTGTTCAATGTGACTTCTGTTAAATGTGACATCTGTTCAAGAGGTCACCTCTAAA